ATTGTTTTTAATTACGGCTTATGCCTAAAAACATTCCTCCCTAATACTTTAAAATCTGGAACTAAATAATGGTTTAGTTCCCAGGAGTCAAAGAGCCCACACATAACGCTCTCTGAAAACACCATTTTTGAAAACATGCATATTTTCCTAATTAAGAATCCCAATATAATTTCAATCATATTATGTAAAATACTTTATATAATATAATCTGTAATTTTACTCTAAATTACATGTTACAATTAATAAAGTGCAATCAATATGTACTATATTACAGTGAATTAAGCTATCGAAAACCTCAATCAATAGCTAATTTGATAATTCTAGCCCAGTTCACAATGCAAGAGAACAGGAAATGAATACTTTAGCTGTAAAGGAACAAGGAACTTTCAAATTTTTCACACATAAAATACGTAACACACATCCCACAGAAAATGATAATGATAAAGCAAATGGGTAAAATGTTAGCAACTGTAGATTCTGAGTGAAGGGAAAAGAAAAGTTCTTCATACTAATCTTGCAAATTTTTACTTTTAAGTATCTTTAAACTTTTGTTACAAAAAACATCAGGCAGCTAGCTGGGCACGGTGGCTCACACCTGTAATCCAGCACTTTGGGAGGCCAAGGCAGGCAGATCGCCTGAGGTCAGGAGTTCAAGACCAGCCTGGCCAACCTGGTGAAACCTTGTCTCTACTAAAAATACAAAAATGAGCCAGGCGTGGTGGCGGGCTCCTGTAGTCCCAGCTACTGGGGAGACTGAGGCAGGAGAATTGCTTGAACCTAGGAGGTGGAGGTTGCAGCGAGCCAAGATTACACCGCTGTACTCCAGCCTGGATGACAGAGTGAGACTCCATCTCAAAAAAAAAAAAAAAAAAAAAAAAAAAAATAGGCCAGGCACAGTGGCTCACGCCTGTAATCCCAGCACTTTGGGAGGCAGAGGCGGTCGGATCACGAGGTGAGGAGTTCGAGACCAGCCTGGCCAAGATGGTGAAACTGTGTCTACTAAAAAATACAAAAATTAGCCAGGTACGGTGGTGGCACCTGTAATCCCAGCTACTCTGGAGGCTGAGGCAGGAGAATTGCTTGAACCCAGGAGGCAGAGGTTGCAGTGAGTCGATATCATGCCATTGCACTCCAGCCTGGGCGACACAGCAAGACTCCGTCATAAATACATATACATACACACACACACACATATATACATACATACATAAATACCAAACTTGACTAAGCCACCTTCTACTTTCCCCTATGATGTGGTTTCCCATCACCTTCAAGATAAAATGCACACTTCTAGCACAGTAAACCAGTCCTTTTATGACTGACTCTGGCCCATCTCTCTGCTGACTGCCCTCTACCTACCCTTAGGTCTAAATGTGCTGAACTATGTGCAACTACCTTTAAGTATCACATTCTCTCAGACCGTAATGCTTTTATGTGTTGCTACCACTGCCTGAAAATCCCATCTTCCCCCACTTAGCTGAAGAACTCACACTCAACTTTCAAGACACAATTCAAATGTCCTTTTCCACAGAAACATTTCCTGACATCACCAAGTAAGTCAAAGTCTCCACTCACACAGCTCATTAGACTGTGAGTCCCCTGAGGACAAATAATATACAGTATTTGTTTGTATTCTTAGGACCCTGCACCTAATCAAATTCTTAGCATTTGCTGAGCTCCAATCAGTGGAGAAAAGGAGCCCTTTTAAATGAACTTTTCTGGAATAACCAGATAACCATAACGAAAAACATAAAAATGGATCTGCCATTTCCCACACCAACTAACCAGGGCAAATCCTAAACGGATCAGAGAGCTAAATGTAAAAATAAGGCTGGGGACTGGCACGGTGGCTCACGTCTGTAATCCCAGCACTTGGGGAGGCTGAGGTGGGCAGATCACAAGGTCAGGAGATTGAGGCCATCCTAGCTAACATGGTGAAACCCTGTCTCTACTACAAATTTAAAAAAAAAAAAATTAGCCGGGCATGGTGGCGGGCACCTGTAGTCCCAGCTACTCGGGAGGCTGAGGCAGGAGAATGGCATGAACCCGGTAGGTGGAGCTTGCAGTGAGCTGAGATCGTGCCACTGCACTCCAGCCTGGGCGACAGAGCGAGACTCTGTCTCAAAAATAAATAAATAAATAAATAATAAGGCTGGGTGTGGTGATTCATACCTGTAATCCCAGGACTTTGCAAAGCCAAGGCGGGAAGATCACCTGAGCCCAAGAGTTCAAGACCAGCCTGGGGCCGGGCGCAGTGGCTCACACCTATAATCCCACCACTTTGGGAGGCTGAGGCGTGTGGATCACCTGAGATCAGGAGTTCAACACCAGCCTGGTCAACATGGTGAAACCTCGTCTCTACTAAAAACACAAAAAAATTAGCCAGGCGTAGTGGCAGGTGCCTGAATTCCCAGCTACTTGGGAGGCTGAGGCACAAGAATTGCTTGAACCTGGGAGACAGAGGTTGTGGTGAGCTGAAATAGCACCATGCACTCCAGCCTGGGAGACAGAGCAAGACTTTGTCTCCAAAAAAAGACCAGCCTAGGGAACACAGAAAGACCCTGTCTCTATCTTTATAAATTAAAAAAAAAAAAAAGTGAAAAATGAAACCATACAAGTACTAAAAGAACACATAGCTGAATTCCTTTATAACCAAGGAATGATAAAAGCTTCCCAATTATAATTCAAAATGAGAAAAGTAACCACATCAATCTATTTAACTAAATTTCTTTAACTTTTTGGATCATAAAAACATCATACGCAAACACATTTAACGGTAAGATCACTGAAACACTATTTTTTTTTTTTTTGAGACGGAACCTCGCTCTCTCACCCAGGCTGGAGCACAGTGGCCCGATCTTAGCTCACTGCAAGCTCCACCTCCCAGATTCACACCATTCTTCTGCCTCAGCCTCCCGAGTAGCTGGGACTACAGGCGCCCGCCACCACGCCCAGCTAATTTTTTGTATTTTTAGTAGAGACGGGGTTTCACCGTGTTAGCCAGGATGGCCTTGATCTCCTGAACTCGTGATCCGCCCGCCTCGGCCTCCCAAAGTGCTGGGATTACAGGCGTGAGCCACCGCACCTGGCCTATTTTTTTTTATTTTTTTTTTTTTTTGAGATGGAGTCTCGCTCTGTCACCCAGGCTGGAGTGCAGTGACGCAATCTCGGCTCACTGCAAGCTCCGCCTCCCGGGTTCACGTCATTCTCCTGCCTCAGCCTCCCCCAAGTAGCTGGGACTACAAGCACCTGCCACCATGCCCAGCTAATTTTTGTACTTTTAGTAGAGACAAGGTTTCACCTTGTTAGACAGGATGGCCTCGATCTCCTGACCTCGTGATCCGCCCACCTCAGCCTCCCAAAGTGCTGGGATTACAGGCATAAGCCACCGTGCCCAGACTACTATTTCTTATTCTCAATTATATTTGAAAGATCAGTAAGTTGTTAAACGATTTAGTGATCAAGAACAGTCCCCACAAAAAAGGTCTACTGATCATAGATTCATAAAGGCAGCTAACACCACGCTAGAAACAAAACCCGAAATGAATTCAGAGACAAAAATTATGAGAAAAGATATGACAATTCCTAAAAATCTAGTATTTGTACAATCAGAGTTCAAAAATATAAATGAAGGAGTATAAGATAGCAGAGGCTGGGCACAGTGGCTCACACCTGTAATCCCAGTGCTTTGGGAAGCCGAGGTAGGCAAATCACTTGAGTTCAAGACCAGCTGGGCCAACACAGTGAAACCCCATCTCTACTAAAAATACAAAAATTAGCCAGGTGTGGTGGGTGGTGCATGCCTGTAGTCCCACCTACTCAGGAGGCTGAGGCAGGAAAATCACTTGAACGCGGGAGGCAGAGGTTGCAGTGAGCCGAGATCACTCCACTGCACTCCAGCCTGGGTGACAGAACAAGACTCCATCTCAAAAAATAACATAAAATAACATAACATAAAATAAAAATAAAAATAAAGGCCAGATGTGGTGGTTTACACCTGTACTCCCAGTACTTTGGGAGGACAAGGTGGGTGGATCACTTGAGGTTGGGAGTTCAAGACCAGCCTGGCCAACATGGTGAAACCCTGTCTCTACTAAAAATAAAAAAATTAGCTGGGTATGGTGGCGCGCACCTGTAATCTTAACTACTCAGGAGTCTGAGGCACAAGAATTGCTTAAACCCAGGATGCAGAGGTTGCAGTGAGCCGAAATGGCACCACTGCACTCCAGCCTGGGCAACAGAGCGAGACTTTGTCTCAAAAATAAAATAAAATAAAGATAGCAGAGAAGGGCTGGCATGGTGGCTCGCATCAGTAATCAAAGTGCTTTTGGAGGTCAATGCAGAAGGATCGCCTTCTGGCCAAAATTTTGAGACCAGCCTGGGCAACACAGCAAGATCTCATCCCCACAGAAATTTAAAAGTCACCCATACGTGCATGCTAGCACGTGCTAGTAGTCCCAGCCTCTTGGGAAGCTGAGGTGGGAAGATGGTTAGAGCCCAGAGATCAAGGCTGCAGTACGCTGTGATCAAACCAGCCTGGGCAATAGAACAAGACCCTGTCTGTAAAAATAAAAATAAAACACACAATTGCAAGGACACCAAAATTATATTCTCACACAAGTTCAGAAGGTATCTCACCTACAAAATGTAAAAAATTCCACAAAACAGTATTCTAGGCACAAAACCTGCATCAGGAGAAAGCATGGAGAAGACTCTCACAGCGAGAGGATAGGGAACTGCAACATAGTAAAATATTTTTAGGTCTTCACAATGACTGCTCCAATATTTAATGCAAATATCAAGTGCTTCTTCAAAAAGCAGCTTCCTACGTTAAAAAGTAGTAATATTCTATAACTAAAATTGTTCTCTTGGGGTTTTTTGTTTTTTTTTTGGTTTTTTTAATTCTACACGCTAGCAGCAGCAAAGGAAAAAAGCCGGATGCTATACCTAAAAGTACAGCAACTGTGGATGCCCAAATAATAATAAGTTGATGTACTTACAGGGAGTTTGGTGAAGGCCGGGTTGGTGACATGCTTCCCAAAGGCATCTTCCTGGAACTGAAGAAGCTGCACCACCAGCCCAGCCAGTGTTTTATTGGTAGGAGCATCCGCATGAACATACTGCAAGATAAAGACAGGCATTCAAAAACAAGTACAATTTTTGCAGAAGAAAATGTTGGCTTACTTCCTAGTACCTACTAAGTACTTATGTTATGGGAAATTTATAGATGTCTGAGACACGCTCTGTGCTATAAAGGAGCTTACAAAAACAAATACGTGTGTGCATTTAAAAATGGTTAAGATGGTTAATTTTCTTCTTTTTTCTTTTCTTTGAGACAGAGTTTCTTTCTTGTCACCCAGGCTGGAGTGCAGCGGTGCGATCTCGGCTCACTGCAACCTCTGCCCTCAGGTTCAATCGATTCTCCTGTCTCAGTCTCCCAAGTAGCTGGGATTACAGACATGAGCCACTATACATAGCTACTTTTGTATTTTTAGTAGAGACAGGGTTTCACCACGTTGGACAGGCTAGCCTCGAACTCCTGACCTCAGGTGACCTGCCCGCCTCGACCTCACAAAGGTAAATCTCCTGTGTTTTTTACCAAAAGAATGAAAGTAAAATGTTATCCATATTAATGTAAAGAATGTCAAAAGCCCAACCCAGTAATAGACACATCAGCTAGGAAGCTTCACAGCAAGGAAAAACAATGGGTAACACAACAAGAAAAGCATAAATTAGTGAGTTAAATGTAAAAGTTTTATTTGGCAATTAAATGTTCAATATCACTGAGTAGCCAATACACTCAAAAAAAATTTTTTTTTCTTTTTTCTTTTTTTTTTTTTTGAGACAGAGTCTCGCTGTGTCTCCCAGGCTGGAGTGCAGTGGCATGATCTCGGCTCACTGCAAGCTCCGCCTCCCGGGTTCACGCCATTCTCCTGCCTCAGCCTCCCAAGTACCTGTGACTACAGGCGCCCGCCACCACGCCCGGCTAGTTTTTTGTATTTTTAGTAGAGACGGGGTTTCACCATGTTAGCCAGGATAGTCTCGATCTCCTGACCTCGTGATCCACCCGCCTCGGCCTCCCAAAGTGCTGGGATTACAGGCTTGAGCCACCGCGCCCGGCCACTTTTTTCTTTTTTATTGAGATAGTCTTGCTCTTTCACCCAGGCTGGAGTGCAGCGGCACCATCTCAGCTCACTGCAACCTCTGCTTCCAGGGTTCAAGCGATTCTCCTACCTCAGCCTCCCTAGCAGCTAGGACTACAGGGGCACACCACCATGTCCGGCTGATTTTTTTTGTATTTTTAGTAGACACGGGGTTTCACTATGATAGCCAGGCTGGTCTTGAACTTCTGACCTCATGATCCGCCCGCCTTGGCCACCCAAAGCGCTAGGATTACAGGTATGAGCCACCACGCCTGGCCTCAAAAAGTATTTTTAAATCTCCAATTCCGAGCAAGAAAAACATCTACACTCGCCTTTCAGTTGGACAAGAGAGAATTTTTTTTTTTTTTTTTTTTTGCTGGAGCAAACTTCAAACTACCACCCGACATTTCAAGGTTAATGTGGTATGTCTCCATTACAATAAATATTTTTTAGATGACTGGTGTATGGTCAAAATTATATCAGCTGCAACGTCTACAATTACTATGCATAGGACAAAGGGCACACAATTTCTGCTACCATTGAAACTCACAGCATATAAAAGGGCAATCATTTATTTATTTATTTATTTTTCTGAGATGGGGTCTTCTATCACTCAGCCTGAAATGACGAAACCCCAGCTCCACTAAAAAAAATATATATATACAAAAATTAGCTGGGTGTGGTGACAACACACCTGTCCCCAGCTACTCGGGAGGCTGAGGCAGGAGAATCGCTTGAACCTGGGAGATGGAGGTTGCAGTGAATCGAGATCACATCACTGCACTCCAGCCTGGGTGACAGAGTGAGACTCCGTCTCAAATAATTAATTTTAAAAACATTTTTTCTTTTTTTTTTTTTTTTGAGATGGAGACCTAGGATGGACCACAGTGGTGTGATGACAGCCACTGCAGCCTCAATCTCCTGGGCTCAAGTGATCCTCCTCCTCGACCTCCCAGAGAACTAGGACTACAGAGGCGTGCCAACACATCTGGCTAATTTTTTAATTTTCTGTAGAGAACAGTTTTCACCAACTTCTCCAGGCTAGTCTAGAACTCCTGGGTTCAAGTGATTCTCTCACTTTGGCCTCTCAAAAAGCGCTGGGAGGCCAAACGCTAGAGGCATAAAGTACTGCACCTGGCCCATATACTTTCAAGTGAAAATTGTCAATCACTTTTTCTCCAATTTACTCAACATAGTAAAAATTTAATAGATAACATTCAAGGGCCGGGCATGGTGGCTCACGCCTGTAATCCCAGCACTTTGTGAGAACAAGGCGGGCGGATCACAAGGTCAGGAGATCGACACCATCCTGGCTAATGCAGTGAAACTCCGTCTCTACTAAAAATACAAAAAATTAGTCGGGTGTGGTGGTGGGCACCTGTAATCCCAGCTACTCGGGAGGCTGAGGCAGGAGAATCACTTGAACCCGGGAGGCAGAGGTTGCAGTGAGCCAAGATCACGCCGCTGCACTCCAGCCTGGGTGGCAGAGTGAGATTCCAACTCAAAAAAATACATAAATAATATTCCATTTGGGCCGGGCATGGTGGCTCACACCTGTAATCCCGACACTTTGGGAGGCTGAGGCAGGAGGATCACCTGAGGTCAGGAGTTTGAGACCAGACTGGCCAACATGGTGAAACCCCATCTCTACTAAAAATACAAAAAACAGCTGAGTGTAGTGGCACACACCTGTAACCCCAGCTGTTAAGGAGGCTGAGGCAGGAGAATCACTTGAACCCAGGAGACAGAGGTTGCAGTGAGCTGAGATCACGCCACTGCACTCCAGCCTGGGCAACAAAGCAAGACTCGTCTCAAAAAAAAAAACAATAATAAGATTCAATTTGCTATATAATTAGTGATACTCAACACAGTATTTTTTTTTTACCTGTTATTTGAGGTTCAAGGATACATGTGCAGGTTATGTAGGTAATTGCATGTTTTGGGGATTTGGTGTTAAGGTTATTTTGTCACCCAGGTAATAGGCATAGTAACCATAGTTTTTTGATCCTCTCTCTCCTGCCACCCTCTCTCTAAAGCCAGCCCTGGTGTCTTGGTGTCTTTTGTTTCCTTCTTTGTGTCCATATGTACTCAAATGTATCTTTTTTTTTAAGAGTCTCACTCCTAGTCACCCAGGATGGCATGCAGTGGCATGATCATGGCTCACTGCAACCTCAACCTCCTAGGGCTCAGGGGATCCTCTCATCTTAGCCTCCCGGGTCGCTGGGACTACACACATGTACCACCATGCCTGGCTAATTTTGGGGGCTTTTTTTGGTAGTGACAGGGTTTCACCAGGTTGCCCAGGGTGGTCTCAAACTCCTGGACACAAGCAATCTGCCAGCCCTGGCCTCTCACTATGATTACAGGTGTGAGCCACCGCGCCCAGCCTAATTTTTACTTAAGAATAAACTTCGGGCTGGGCGCGGTGGCTCACGCTTGTAATCCCAGCATTTGGGAGGCCGAGGTGGGCAGATCACAAGGTCAGGAGATCGAGATCATCCTGGCTAACATGGTGAAACTCCATCTCTACTAAAAATACAAAAAACTAGCCAGGCGTGGTGGCACGTGCCTGTAGTCCCAGCTACTCGGGAGGCTGAGGCAGGAGAATGGTGTGAACCCAGGAGGCGGAGCTTGCAGTGAACCGAGCTTGCAGAGAGATCGCGCCACTGCACTCCAGCCTGGGCGACAGAGTGAGACTCCACCTTTAAAAAAAGAGAAAAGAAAAGAATAAACTTCGAGGCCGGGCGCGGTGGCTCACGCCTGTAATCCCAGCACTTTGGGAGGCCGAGGCGGGCGGATCACAAGGTCAGGAGATCGAGACCACGGTGAAACCCCGTCTCTACTAAAAAATACAAAAAATTAGCCGGGCGCGGTTGTGGGCGCCTGTAGTCCCAGCTACTCAGGAGGCTGAGGCAGGAGAATGGCGTGAACCCGGGAGGCGGAGCTTGCAGTGAGCCGAGATCGCGCCACTGCACTCCAGCCTGGGCGACAGAGCGAGACTCCGTCTCAAAAAAAAAAAAAAAGAAAAAAAAAAAGAATAAACTTCAAAGCTGGACACGGTGGCTCACGCCTATAATCCCAGCACTTTGGGAGGCAGAGGTGGGTGGATCTCATGAGGTCAGGAGATCGAGACCAACCTGGCTAACACAGTGAAACCCCATCTCTACTAAAAATATAAAAAATTAGCCGGGTGTGGTGGCGGGCACCTGTAGTCCCAGCTATTTGGGAGGCTGAGGGAGGAGAATCGCTTGAACCCAGGAGGCAGAGGTTGTAGTGAACTGAGATCGCGATCGCGCCACTGCCCTCCAGCCTGGGCGACAGAGCGAGACTCAGTCTCAAAAAAATAAATAAATAAATAAAAGAATAAACTTCAAGATAGACCTGCTATGTACCCAAAAAAATTAAAAATTAAAACTGTGGCCAGATGCAGTTACTCACGCCTATAATCCCAGCACTTTAGGAGGCCAAGGTGGACAGATCACTTGAGCTCAGGAATTCAAGACCAGCCTCAACAACATAGTGAAACCCCGTCTCTACTAAAAATACAAAAATTATCCGGGCATGGTGCTGCATGCCTATAATCCCAGCTGCTTGGGAGGCTGAGGCAGGAGAATGGCTTGAACTCAGGAGGCAGAGGTTGCAGTGAGCCGAAAGCGCGCCACTGCACTCAAGCCTGGGTGACAGAGCAAGACTCCGTCTCAAAAAAGGAAAAAAAAAATGCTTCAAGTATATCTTACAAAACTGACAGGCCGGGCGCGGTGGCTCAAGCCTGTAATCCCAGCACTTTGGGAGGCCGAGACGGGCGGATCACGAGGTCAGGAGATTGAGACCATCCTGGCTAATACGGTGAAACCCCGTCTCTACTAAAAATACAAAAAAAAAAAACTAGCCGGGCGAGGTGGCGGGCACCTGCGGTCCCAGCTACTCGGGAGGCTGAGGCAGGAGAATGGCGGGAACCCGGGAGGCGGAGCTTGCAG